TTCATCATTTCACTTTCTTCAAATGAACCACAGAATAGGATTGAGTTTTTTTTTTTTTGTTTTCCTCCTCCTATGCACCATGCAGTCTGCAGGAGTAAGAATCAACAATCATGAATAATGATAACCGTTTAAGGTTTTCATATACATTTATATGGAAGAACTACACTGTTTAAATGTTAATGGCTGCTCTATTGTTTATTTAATTGAAACAATGTTTTTCATCATGATAATATCTACTATCTTGCAAATCATTCTTAGAAACTGTACAGATGGTCATGATCTTGGCACTAGTGCTGGTCTGATCCACCATTCGACACACATGTGCAGCTCCGCCCCGTTCTCATCAGCCTTCACCAGATCCACCTGCACCTCTGACTAGATAACCAGCTCTCATACCAGTCACTAGTGCCAGATTATTACGAGCCACCCATGAGGTTAATCCAGAGTTCTTGAATCCTGTCTGCCTGTTTCTGACCCATTTCTGCCTCCTGAATTCTCTGAGCCTGCCTAACCCTCGTCAGACTCGATTGTTGTGCTGTCTGTATCTCTTACCTGACTCTGCCCCCGGATTCTGATTCTGATTTTCCGTGTATCTCTGATCATCTGGATCTGATCTAGGAGTCTGATTATTCCTCCTGACCATCCTGCCTTCTTCTACCACCACGGTTTAACCACCACAATTAACTGTTAGTCCCGTGAGTAAAATCCTTCATGCTTCCCTCATCGGACTCTGAATCACATTTTGCTTCACCGGTGACATAACCCACCAACAGGAGCCTTCATTCACCATCCAAGCCTATTTCCGGATTGTGCAAATTGGTTCCTGTCCCAGACGCTGGTGATTCACTCCCGACCTGCAGTAGTTTACATCTCAAAGTTTTTGGGGTTTTTTTTGCATCTCATCTTGTCCGGCTGAATTCTGGGTCCTCTGTTTCCGTACGTCACACATCTTTTAACCAGGATAAAGTCAGAGTATTGCAGAGTTTTGGCTGTAGCCAATACTGTGTGACTTTGTGAACATTTTATTATTATTATTACATTTTATTATTATTATTATTTTGCATAAACCAATGTAGTTGAGGACAGGGTCTGGGGAAATGTAAAATGATCCAAATGTAGGGCAAAAACTTGGGGAATCAAATTTATTCAAGTTTATTATAAAACCAACAATGCATAGCAATGCCTGATTACTAGACTGAAACTAAATTTGATTAAACTAAACCGATAATACACAAACCAAGAAATACCTGACTCTGGAACCACTACAGGAACCCATTAAGGCACTTACATGGGCCATGGAGTTGGTTACAAACAGGAATGGCAATATATGGCAAAGGATCTGACAAAGAAATGAATAAACCAAGAGGGTATGTAGGTGAGAGTGATTAGAAAAATGACAGCAGCTGGTTTAGTTGACAAGAAACCCTGAAGACTGAGGAACATAAATGTGGCCAAAACACGGAAGCGAAACGCAGGAAAACACAAACTTAACAGGGTACCGTGGCAAAAAAGTAAACATACAAACAAAAAAAACACAGGAAGCTAACTGGAAACACCAAACTCACAACCCTAGAAACATGGAAAACAAACATCACAAAAAAGACCCAAACAATAGCAATAATGTATGTTGCAACAAAACACAATTTTAAAAGGAGATAAAAGACAAAATTAAGTTATCAACATAGCTCTATAAAACTGAATTAATTAGAAAAAATCATAATGTTTTACTGCACTTGTCTTTTTAAAAAAAAACAAACAAGTTTTTGTCTACTTTTCAATATCTATAGATGCGAGATGCAATTTTTCAGTTGTATTTCTTTGTAAGATATGCAATTATTATCAGGACTACTGTTAACTTATTGTTTACCACAGGGATTATAAGGTGCCAATTTTTTCCCGCACAGAATTGATCATTTCACAAATTCTGCAACTGTTTTCTTAAACTGATTTTAAATAAAACATCTATAATTATTATGCAAATGGGAGAGAAAACTGAACTTAAGACAGCTGTTGTATTATGTTTATACATGTTTATATAGACTGTATTAGAATACACATACAGTAAGTTTCAGAAGAATAAAAGCACATTTGTTTGTGTCGGGAGTTTATAAGAGGACCATGCCCACAGGCTTACAAAATGCTTTTATATTATGAGTAGGGGCCATTTTCCAAAAAGCTTTTCCTTTAACTATTAGAAACACACACCCAAATACAATAACAAAGTTAACAATGTGTGCCATTTTTCTTACTGCTCATGAGTTTGTTTTGGATGCTGGCATTAGAATATTCCAACATTGCAAAGACATTCTGCTTAAGTGTTGTAATTTCACCTCCTTTTTAAACTAGATATAAGCACATTGCATAGTATTTGTATGACAACTTTGACTTTACTGGAATTTTGAGCAGCTCGATGTTACTGCTGCAATGTTAATTAGCAATCACTGGATAAATCTTTGTGATGAGGCTCAGGAGAGGGCAAAAATGGCAACAAGGTTCGTCAGTGAATCTGTCTCGAATGGACCAGTAGAGTCACACCAGATAGGAGTATAGAGTTTATTTTCTATAATATGGGTAGAATAAACTACCTCTTTCCACTCCTCAGCCAGACTCTGAAATGCAGAGATGGACTGGTTACTTGTCCAGGGTGTACCTTGCCTCTCACCCATTGTCAGCTGGGATAGGCTCCAGCCCCCCTGCAACCCTTTTGGGAATAAAGGGTGTAGAAAATTAATGAATGGATGGTTTCTCCACTCCTAGATGCCAGGATCTAAACAGCGGTGGTGATGCAGGACTTTCTGGGGAAGGTAATGAAGCCTTTCTCTGAGAAACTAGGGACTCTGGATAATATAGTCCTGGTTAAGGGCTTCGAGCAGTAACTCACAACCAGCAGGCTTGGTACAGTAACTCTCCTTGAGTCTGAAAATGGTTGCTTAGGTATTGAAGCAAATTCTGTGGGTCATGATGTCACGTCTGGGGGAATGTCTGGTGTCTCTTCATGTGTTGATTACCTATTGTGTACACCTGGGGTTCCCCTCCCTCGTGTGTTTAAATAGTCCTCGTTTCCCATGTCCTGGGCCAGTGCGTTTTCGTCTGTCTGCTCTCGTCACCCCACGTCAGGTTTGATTTTGTCACAGCCTAGTTTAGCCATGCCACAGTCTTATTTACTTTTTACCATAGCCATGTTTTTGTCATAGCCTTGTTTGCCACAGTCTTGATAACCTTGTTTTGCCATAGTCTTGTTTTGATACTTTTGCCACAGCCATGTTAATCTTGCTTTGCTACTTTGATCATAGTTTTGTCACAGCCTTGTTTTGAACTTTGCCTCCATCCACTCCTTTGAGTGCCTTTTTGTTACAAAAAACCCTGTTTTCACGAATCTCCGCGACTAAGTCCTCCCTCCAAGATCCTCCACTTCCTGACACATGAAGCCCCATGGACTGACTCCCATGGCAAGGGAAAGAAAAAACTTGTGGGTATTAATAACAAATGGAGATGTAAACTTGGAATTAACACTGGAAGTTTCTGGCAAAGAAATCAGATATTCTTGCACTTAAGATGACACTGAAGGTTTGAATACTCAGGAACACACAGGAGTGGCATGAGGTGAATGAGCTCAGTATGTAGGCATGAGCAAACCATAACAATATTATTGCCATCATATCTTTTTTTTTCTTCTGTTGAGGCAGTGTAATTTAGTTTGTACTTGTAATGGTTATCGTCATTTATTTTTGCATCAACATTATGTCCGTAAACTTATCAAAGACAAATTTATTTGTTATGTGAGCCTGTATCATTAGTCAATTGTCCTGTATCACGCCTTTGCCCTGGCAGTAATGTTAAAGTTTCACAGTAGTCAGAATAAAAATGTCAAATGTACAGTAACTAATCCAATGACAAAACAAAACAGTTTGCAAAAACATTTCGAAAGAATTATTTTACTCTTATTTTATTTTGTTTGTTTTGAAAAGCGTATATTGGCATGTCGACACCAATGTTACATTTTTGTCTTTGGTTTAAGTATGAATTTAATTTTGAGGAGGGCAATATACAGCAATATTTACAACAAAATGACCTATTGAGAATATGTCCCTCACTGCTAGCAGCCATAATGACACTGACATTAGTTCATTTAGCATCTACAGAGCTTGAATACAGACATTTTGGCATTTTATCATGTTATTTTGGATAAGAGAAGTGAAGTAGAATACTTCCTGAATTAGTCACCATCCATTCAAGGTCCACAGAGAGACAAGAAAGGCCCTTTTTACACAATATGAAGAAATTTCGTGTTTCCTGGGAGACAAAGTGATACCACTAACATCCAACATTTCTTTTTTTTTTCTTTAAGTAGACTGTGAAAATAGTATTTTCTGGATCACATCCAGCCCCTCCATTCAGTGTAATTGACCTGTTCTCCGGTGTTACTGCAGCAAAGCTATTTGGAGTGGATAGCAGAGAATAGCAGGTGGTTCAGTCAGCTTCTCTTCCATTAAAGCAAACCTTAACGGGAGCCTCTGGACCTGCAATAAACCCGGGGTTGTGTTTTGTGGAGGATGTTTGGGATGGCTGCAAAGATGACGGCTGTAACCAAAAGTCTCCAGGTGTACTTTTTGGTCAAATGCCTTGCTTGTACCTACACTTTTACTCATTTCAGTTTATCACTTTGCTCTAATCAGGTATTTGTTTCCATCTTACACAGCATTACAAAATCGATTTAAAAAAAAAAAATGCATTGAATTACACAGTATGTGCTTGTATGTTCAGTTGGATTGAAACAAGTTGTTGGATTCAGTATGAATGGCCCAAGACCATATTTGGAGCTTTGCTTACTCACTTCCACTTGAGTTTAGCAGGTTTTATGAAAAATAATAGTGTTTGAAAGATTTTAGAATAGTAAAGGGGACATTTTAGTCAGAGAGATCTTGAAAAATCCGATCATACTTGTCTATTTTTAAACAGCAACTGATGTCCTCTCTTCTGTGTCTCTTATCACCTCACAGCTCAGCCAAATCCACCGAAAATTCATGAGGGATGGTGGGCTTACAAGGAAGTGGTACAGGGGAGCTTTGTTCCAGGTAAGCCTCACAACAAGGTGTTTAACTTTGATGTGTGTAAGTTTCTCTTGGAATACAGATGATACTGCATACACCTTAACACAACATACTCTTGAAGTCAGAGCTTTTTATATATTTCAGATGGCATTGAGCAACCTTGCCTCTGGCAATAGTTTAATTTAGTCAATCTGACAAGATCTTTTTGTCCTTTCTTCTAACTCGATACTTTTAAATATGATTAAATGACTGATACACTCTTCACTCAATCTTTTTCAGCATGTTTCTGTAAGTTAACCTAATATTTTTCTGCGACTCGTGCTGCCCTCAAGAAAAGAGTTTTGGAGGGCAGATGAGTAAGAACTTTTGAAGATTGAACTTGAATTTAAATGTAAAGTTTTCTGCACAAATGACTTTTTTTCCAAAGTCGTCATGGACAATTATAATTTCGTTTGTTGGGAAAACTAATCAGACCACATGTCATAAAATGTGATAACATTGGCAATTGTAAAGTTTTCTTCACAAATGCCTTTTTTCCAAAGTAAATAAGTCAGTCATCATGGACAATTATAATTTTGTTTGTTGGGAAAACTAAACAGACCACAAGTCATAAAATGTGATAACATGGGCAATTAACTGTTAAGAGGAACCATGTGTAAGTGAACAAATTATTCACAGGACGATCGTTTAGTTTGAGACAGCTTTCTGATGGTTACTCTATCAGCTTTCCACCTCTCTCTGATGCCACTGTATCAGTCATTTACATCAGTCATGATATTATTTCTTTCATCAGTTTCTTTTCACCTTATAAAGCTCCCAGTGTTATGTTGCAAGCTCAAAAGTATTGATGTCCTCTTAGGTGTGATTTTCAATGACAATTTGTGTGTGCCAGAAGTGTGATTTCTCACATACTGTAGTAGAAGCTGAAGTTTAAACTGCTGTAACACTAAATATATCTCCCCTAGAAAGATACGATAAGATACATCATCAGCCAATTCTGAACAAACAGAGCACACACCAGATTGAGACACTTTTTGCTCACACAAAGTGTGAAGTGTGTATGTGTCTTATATTTAACTGTGTTTTGAAACTCTGTTGTTTTTGGAACTCTCTCACATGGCAGAAGTTGGAATGGCTACAATGATCAAACGGGCTATGTCTTGGTGTTTCACATCAGATGTTAAACTCAAAATTAATTTGATTTCTGGGCTTATTTTCCTTTATATAGAGATGTAATTTGTGAAATATTGGTTTAAGTTTTACGGTACTATGAATGATGAAATATTTACATTGCTGCATCAGTAGATGTTTGACATGAATTTACATGATGTTCCAGACTGTTGATTTGGATGAAAACATTTGAAAACAGTAGGATGTAAGTTTATTTCACCTTCCCCTACTTTGCAATCCATCCACTGCAACAACTTCCACAGTATTTTCCATCAGCTCATTGAAATGTCAATAGTAAATCCTGTATAGGTCACCAGTCAAACCTACAAAATGATTGTTGCAATGACTAAGATCTGTAAAGTCACATGGAAGCTTATTTTAGGATTTTTAATCATGTTTTTGGGTGGCAGATCGAGAAAAAGAACAAATGTCTCAGATTTGGAAGGTCAGATTACTGGATTTCTAAAGCTACATGTTAAAATTTTATTGAGTAAGATAATCTTGGTGTATCTAATGTATCAGTGTGTAAAAACAAGTCATTGAGAAAAAGCAATGTATAGAGGCATGGGTGTTTGTGAAAAGGGAAATGCGTTTGTTGTAGCACTTTGAGTAGTTGATTAGTTGAGTAAACTAGAAAAGCACTATACATAACCGTTAATAATGTTGACATGTGGATGAACATGCTTATTACATGTTTGTTGTGAGTGTACTTTACATGTGCAAATTTATGTTCTACTTATTTTTACTGGCTTGATGGAGTTTTTAATGTTTCCTATTGGTTCCGACCTTTCGGATCCATTCAAAGATGTAAAGAGTGACCGGCAGCTTTAGATAATTAAATACAAAGAAAAATCTAATCTAAAGTTTGCATCCATAAACTCGCTCGATACAATCGTGCCACCGGTTCTCGAATGCAACACATTAAAAAATGGCTACTTTGAATAACCGTGAGACCTTCATAAACCCTTTCACTCACATTGAATATATTGAACCAGAAAGGAATGTCTGTACAAACTATATTTTAAAATAGTCCATCAAGCATTATAGGGGTCTTAAAAAATGGTGAATGACTGTACCCTCTTGTGAACCCAAATGCAGTTGCCGTGGAGCAAGTTCAAAGGGTGGGTTCCTTGATCAGGTCCTTGCTGGGGAAAGCTAAACATTAGAGGTTCAAAGTGAAACAATACATTTTTTGATAGGTGGTGTCTTACAGTGAGTATTAAGAAGAGTGAACGGAGGAGTGGTGGCGTAGCGGTTAGCATAGCTGTTAGCATAGCTGCCCGGTTAGCATAGCTGCCTTCCAAGCAGTTGACCTGGGTTCGATTCCCGGGCCAATGCAGCTCCTCTCTACCCTGTAAGTCGCTTTGGATAAAAGCGTCTGCCAAATGCAAGAACATGAACATGAACCGAAGGAAGGAAGGCTCCAGTGGAACTGGTTTAGGCAGTGGCCTGGCAGGACAGCCAGAGGGAATGTGAGTGACTCCGGTGATGATATCCACACTTGAAGGTAGCTCAGAACCCTCAAGGAGGTAACTGAAAATATAAAGAAAAAAGTTTAGGAAACCGGGACAGTTCCTTGTCCCACCCTTATCCTAGATGCCTGCTCTGCCCCACCTGGAACTCAGAACATCACAGCCAAAAGCACTCCTGACATGGTGTTTTATTGACAGCCCAAATAACACTGTAGAAATTAAAAATAGAAATATTTTTTTTCTCCATTCCTGCAATAGAGAAGCAATAAAATCAATTTAAAAATTCATACAGCTGTGGTATAGTACTACCAACAACGTTCTTAACACTAGTTCTTTTTTTTTTCTTTTTTTTTACCTGTTAATGGCCTTTTTTAGGCCATTAACAGGTGTAGGTAAAAAACAGTAGCCCAGCATTTGCACCCCAGGCTCTGCAAATTACATTAAAGTGCTCTGTCACTTTCCCCTTATCTATCCCCCATTGTTCCTTTGCAGCATCAATGTTTAACAACAATGTTTATGTTAGGATCAAAACTTTTAAAGGTTTTATTAGAGTACGTTTTTGCAGCGCTGAAATTTGAGTAATTCATTTCTGTCGCGCCTGAGGGAATTTTGGGCGTTTTGTCCTGTCTCCATGGTTGTCTTGTCATTTCCTGTCTTATTTTGAAAAGTACATCCCCTTGTTTCAAGTCTCTTGCACTCCCCTGTGTGTCACATGTCTGCTTGTCTTCTCTTATCACCAATTGTGTTCACCTGGGGTTCCCTTTCCCTTGTGTTTAAATAGTCTGAGTCTGTGTTTCCGTCTTATGACTTAACTGAGCCTTACCTTGTCCTCATACCTAGCCTTGCCTTGCCCCTTGTATACCCTCATAAGAGTGATTTTGCTTTTGATCCTCATTGTTCTTTTAACTCAAGTGAGTATTATTGTGGTACTTTGTTTCTTGGCCTTTTTGCCTTCCTCGTAAGAGTGATTTTGATTTCATACTTTGTTCATATTTGGTAGACCACATTTGGTCTACTTTGTTTTGCAATTTGTTTCCACTCTTTGAGAGTGCGCCTTGTGTTCAATAAAACCTTTACGAACCATCTCTCTGCATCTGAGTCCTGCCTCGAGTTCCGATTCTGACAATTTCAGAACTCAAAGTGCAATTTGTCAATTTTAGAAATGCACAGGATATGTGTTTTAAGGGTTAGATTTATGAACTCATCTGTTCATATACTTAGCAACATGATATTCAGATAACAAGAAATCAATAAAATGCTAAATTAAATACATTTTACAAAGAAAAAACTGAAAACCGTATAGTGCTTGAAAGGCTTTGTTTAGAAACGTTTTTCAAAGTACCAAAACTTCAACACAAAGACCCAAAGAGTAAAAGCATAAAAAACGTTAAAAGTTATTAATCTGCCTTTTTCCAACTCATGTTTAAAAGATATCAAAACCATTTCTCTGACGGATTCTTGTAATTTTTTGATTTGCGAGAATAGATTTTAAGAATTGATTCAGTTTCAAATGCATTAACATGTTCCCTCCAAAAATATATATATATATTTTTTTTAAAGATTTTGTTAGCTCTAGTGGCCTTTAATGATAGTGGCTGGACAGGAAGGGGGGCAGAGAGAGAGAGGGGGAGACCTGCGGGAAAGGGCCGTGGGCCGGATTCGGACCCACGGCCGCCCGCTTGCGAGCAGGGGCTCCGCATATGGTCCGCCCGCTGTACCCATTAGGCTACAGCTGCAGCCCTTAAAAAATTTTTTTATACCAATCCTCATGAAACTGTGATACACATTATTTTTACCACTGATTTTTCTAGATTATATTCAAAAGTTTTCCCAGTTTTAACTTTAACAGGGATCTGTACTCAAAGGGTAAAGTGAACTATGCCTCTGTAGTTTATAAAAGTCTATACATTTTCTATACACAACTATAAAAGGAATATCAAAATTGTAACCACATTTCATTTAGCACAAAGAATTGTTTGAAATGATTTTGGTTGTGCGCCATGCTATTATAACAAAAAAAGATAAGTAAATGTAAAAAACTGTAAACCCTGAACAAGTGGAGAACAAAAAGGAGTGATGAGCAACAGTTAAACAGTATCTGCAAGTGAAATTTAAGAAAGAGGAAAAAGTCAGCTAATACCTAACACAGGACCTGCTACAAAGTAGAAAACATAGTTTTAAATAATTTTGCAGAGAGTTTCATCTAACCTATTAAAAGATAATATTCATATATATTTATAAGGAAATTTATATAGATATTTTAAACTGGGATATTTTTACACTGTTCAAACTAATATTATTTCACTTTAGCGAGGTATTTTCAACTCCAAATATAGTTTTAAAATAACAATGTAATGTGTAAGAATATTCCATATTAATTTA